GGTTTGGGAGCAACGTTGATTTCTATGGATCGTGATTCATGAATGGAAAATAGGGGGTAGAAATAAAAGTACTAAAAGTACAAAAATTGGAATTAGTCCGATGACACACTCGCCCTCAGTGAGCCAATGAGTCCAGTTCCTCTTAATTATAGTTTTGTTATTTTATTTTTAATAAATAATAATAAAATTTTAGTTTATAATACACTATAATTTTACTTTAAGGTATTTCCCTCATTTGCGGTGTTGCGATATTGAATATTTTATTATGTTTTCTTGTGATTACCACCTTAAATTATTGTGATTTTTTCAATTTTTTCAAGATGTCAGGAGTTCGAAAAACGGATTTTCGCCCTCGAACCGAACACTATTTTTTATTCGAATGAAGCACAACACGAATAATAAATGAGAATATCCAAAAATAAAAGGCGCCGATTCCATATCTTAAGTTTGTTGTCAATGCCATTTTTCAACTGTCACTTTTTGACTATCGTAATTTTTCCAAAACGTACTTTTGGGTACATAAAATATAATGACAGCGACAAGTTGAATTTGTCACCTTTATTTTTGCGACTATAATGACAGTGACAGGTTGTCACATTTAGTCCGGGCGTAAAAATAAAACAAATTCATTATTTTTGCTGCGCAAAAGTACAACAATTTTGATTCATTCAAATGAAAATTTCAATGTGAGACAAAACATTTTAAACTTTTTCTCCGAATCGCCCATGGAGATCTATTGTGACCAGCTAAAAGGGAAAGTGCGTTTTTTTCCTGCTGCAGGTCTCACGACACGCTTTTAAGTAATAATAAGCTGACAACTGTTTGCATTATTGGATAACAATAACAAACGCGGAATATTAATTAGCGGCTTTTGCTGCCAATACGTTAGTAAAAAAAAGTTTTCTATTTTTTTATTACAAATTTAACAGTATAAAATATAATGCAATGGCAACTGATCAGTTCAACTAACAACCATCAGCACGCTAATTTTCTCCCAACCTGCTGCGTTATTCTGAACCCTTTTCCACTGGTTGAAACCAGCTCACTTTGTCCATGTGCAATCTTTCGGCCAATTCACTCAGCTTATCACTTTGCTACCCAATTTGTGTGAGTTTTGGAAAAACTGTCCCATTTACACCAAAAAATAAACCGAAAATGGCAAAATTCAGGCATAGCGCGTCTTCTTCGCTCTCCTCCAAGGCCGCAAAATGCTCCTGATGATCCCAATCTTCTCCAGCGCAATATCGGCCACCATCTTCTCCACCTGCTTAATGGCCTTCACCTGAAAATGATGCCAACTCGTGAACGATGATTTCCCATGATGATTAAAGCGACAGTTAATACACGATTAGAATAACAAAATTGCATATCGTTTAAGCCTGGTGATCACCCGCAAATGTCAACGTTAATCAATCTTAATATTAACAGAATGATTATTGAGGTTTACAGGTCCAAAGGCCTGGTTATACTCTTGATCACCACCTGGGCGATTTCGGCCCCCGTATCCATAACGCGGGACCCGATTGCCCCCAAGCCCCTAAACAGCCCACTCACCGTAGCTCCAATATTGCCCCCCAAATTAAGGTTGACAATGGGCCTGATGGGGATGGGCGGATTAGTGAAAAACGTGTTAAACGGAACCAAGCCCGGGATCGGCGACGGTCTTTTAGTGCTGGTGCTAAATGAGGGGTTAGTGGTGATGATTTGATGGGTGGTTGTGGTGTCCGGCTGATTGGCCCGATCTGAACCCTCTGGACTAGTTTGCGTGATGTTTGCGTCGATGGTGTTGCCGTCGGCTTCCGATGAGTCCAACCTGGAAAAGTTTACTGTTATTTCAGTATCAGTTGAAAGCTAGTGAACACTCACTTGTTTCCTGCTGACGTTGTGCTCTCAAAGGGCCTGCCGGGACCATGAAGCGATTCAAAAGTAGTCTCGAATCGCTTCACGAAAGAATCGCTCGGGTCCCATTTCTCGCTCAGCTCGCTCCAAATCTTCGGATACTCTTTCTTCAGCCTCTTGATGGCCATCAAGGCTATGGTGGCCTGCTTCTCACTGCAGCGGGCGCAGTTTGTCTGCAGTGCTTCCGGAAGAATTCCTAGCAAACAATTGAAAACACTTTTTTATTTTCTAAGGTGAAACCGATTTTAAGCTTCCTTTTAAGGCTTTGCCTTGAGCACTGTAATTACTGTAAAAAGCTTTATTGTGCAAAACAAAAGACCTGCACTCGGCATCGACGGAAGTTCATTGGTTGTTTGCGCAATTTTTTGCCTAAAAATCCATCTTTTTACTTGATAAACAACAGGAGCGCCTTCAATCCCGTGCCGTAACAGCAACTTAATTTATTCGCATTTCAACAATCTATTCATCAAGGTCTTGCACGCATTCATTAGTGTGTTCCACTGGTTCCAGCAATTAGCTTGTAAGGTAAATTTCAATTGCGTCAACCTGGCCGCAATGCCCCGAGTAGATTAAATTGCTTTTACTTGGCTGGATGTTTTGCGTCGTCCCTCGTATGTCGCTCGGTTGCGACAAGGACAGCCTGGTTTCCATGGTTATTGCTATGTTGTTCTCCCTCCCACCCGCAGCTGAAACTCCACCGAGCGCGTTAAGCTTGAATTGGGTGACGATTTCGTGCTACGGGGGATGCTCCAAACAGTCCGAGAGGGTTTTTGGTGAAATAACGCACACTAAATTAGCCACTCAGAATGCACGAAAGATGCAAACTAAGGCTTTTTACTAATCTACAAGCTGAATACTAATCTACTTGTTATTAAAATGTGAAGGTTGCTTGATAAGGACGACAATTTAAACGGCGAAAAAGCAGGATTTTGTTTGCAAGTCTCCGATGCTGACGTTTTTCCATCAAAGCCCCCAAAGTGTTTGCTCTAGTTATTAGACACCGTTCGCCAAAAACGATTAATCGAATGCGAAAAGAAAGCGTGCCAAATATCAGCGACTCAATTTCACCATGTGCATTTGAGGATCATTAACGAATGATTGCTTTATTATTTACCACTTTCTACAAGTGGGGCGCAATCTTTCTGTGCGTAATTTCGGAAGCGTTCCAACAATTAAGCAGGAAATATATGTTTTATTATATGACAAGTTTGTTAATGGAAAGGCATATTTCAATAAAATGCTGTCGGGGGAATGGGGAACAACAGCAATTGCATAAAACGCTAAAGGCGTTCGCGGACGTTATTTGAAGAATTGGCAATTTGCTCGATACCAGGGCGTCGTCTATAGGCATTTGGAGCTTTGGAACCCGGAAATGTTCACGTCTTCAAACCACAGTTAATTAACACAGCAAAATCAAAGCGCAAAAGTGAAAAATGGAACCAGCGTGGACGACTGGAGTATAAAAACTGGGCTTTTTAAAAAGCGAATTTCCGTTGATATTTGAAGTTTCTTATCGGGATGAAACAATGACAAGGCAAAGAAATCAGTTTGATTCAGTTCAAACAAAAAACAATCGAAATCAAGTCCCATGGACTTTCTGACTTACTTTTCAATTCCACACCCTCGGGTGGACAGGCGCCCTGCGACAACAAGCAGGCCGAATAATAGTTGACCATCCTGCGGTTATTCAGGATCGCTCCCACATCGATGTGGTCGTACTTGCTGGCGTAGTACTTTGCTGCCGGTTTGGCGCCGGTCAAGTCCAAAGCCATCCCGATCAGCACCGAAACAATGAGCAGCATTGCACCGTGTTGGTACCCACTAATCGCCGGTACCGCGAAACATATGTGAAGCTGGACCAGGTCGATTGCGTCTACCCGAAGAACAGTCGCACGAGAATGCACATGGTTCAAGAGCTGATGAAGACTTTTACATTGCCGAGGTCGCTCCAAGTCTTGGGTGCTGTGGGTTCTTTCAATAACATTCTAATGGGTTCGACTTGAAGATGCAAACCACTCGTGCTTGTGAAACGACGCAACACATTTTTTGCATTTGCGTTGTTGCATTTGCGTTGTTCAATCTATTAGGACTTCATGACTTGATGATTTCAGCTTTGAGGTCGACAGAAGTCGCATTTTGTTCAGATTTTCAAATACATGTATTGGACACTGATGCAGTGAGACGTTTATTTCATTTTGCCCGCAAAAAGTCCACTTTTGAATTTTGCCAGGTTTTGCAAAAATGCCCCACTGCTTGACCGCAAAATTTGAAACACCAAACCACTGGGACTATGGAAAATTCACACAGTATTGGCTGCGCCATCTTTTGGCTCGCACAGAAATTAGAAATTTATTATACAGGGTGTTCGGAAAGTGTGATGTGTGTAATTGGAATCGCAGTAAAAGAAGTCTGGTTTGAAAATCAGCCAAACTTGACAATTTATAAGACTATTGTGAGTATCTGGTGCATTTCAAAGCTCTAAAACTAGCACGAATCGCACACTTGATCTGCTCGTAATGCAAGGGCGGATCCAGGGCGGGGGGGTCATGGGGGCATGACCCCGCCCCATTCAATTCTCTATCCAACGATGCCAAAACGAATTCTGTGGCTCGAATGGTTCGTGAGAAACTTCGAAAAAAGCAGCGTCAGGTTCAAGTGCATTTTGCAACTCAAAAAAATTCCACGCATATCTAAAACCATCAATGGTTCACTTTCTAAAAAGGCCATTTATTTATCTCTAGAATGATGTACAAATGAGCGTTCTTGCTCGTTTTGCCTTTGAGAAATGAGCAAAAATGGGACGGAAAACATGAAATTTTGGCATAATCTTGAACCTAAGTGTTTGATATTCAAATTTCGCTTTCTAGGCCAAAACTATTCGAATTTCCTCACTCACGTTGTTACGACTGAACCGAGTTTTCAATTCTCTATCCAACGATGCCAAAACGAATTATGTGGCTCGAATGGTTCTTGAGAAACTTCGAAAAAAGCAGCGTCATGTTCAAGT